ACTTGTTCTTCATAATCATTTAAAAACAATACTAGCTGCCTGTTTCATTTAAAAAAATGGAAAGGGAGGTGGATATTTTTTGTTGTTCTTATAAGGAGTCTTGAAGTTTATATCTCCTCAGTGTAATAGACATGCTTGCTTTGATCTTGGAAGTCCAGGGACACCAGGCTGCTGGCCCCGTGCTGCCCAGGGACAGCTCTGTCTGCCATTGGGGATTTTGTTCCCAAGAACCCCTGTAACATTTCACAAACCCCAGTTTGGGAACCACTGCCCAAGAGAAGATTCTAGGTAGCACCGTAGCATTTGAGCACCTCAATCTCTAATGTGTTTATCATCCCCCCCCCCCACTGAGGTACTTTCATCTCCATTTTCCACATGAGGGGACTGAAGCCCAGAGAGATGATGTCCTGGATGCTCCAAAGTATTTAGGCACCTGACTCCCATTGAAAGGATCTGGGCCTCAGTGACTTGTTGAGGTCACACAGGAGGTCTGTGGCAGAACAGGGATTTGAACCCAGGTCCCCCGTCTCTTCACTAGTGCCCTAACCATCGCACCGTCCGTCTTCTCAGCTGGCATAGGCCTGAGGGGGGATGGGAGGCCCAGGAGGTGGGAGATGAATTGAACATCCTCTAATGTGCCACTTTGCCCTGTCAGGCTGGCGTGCCCACCATGGAGAAATACCACGTGCTGGAGATGATTGGAGAGGGCTCCTTTGGGAGGGTGTACAAGGGGCGCCGGAAATATAGCGCTCAGGTGAGGAGAGATCCAGGGAGGGGCTCTCTGAGGAGGTGGGTGGGATGGGTGAGATGTGGGGAAAAGGACATATGGGGGAAACATAACACAGGGCTGAAGAGTTCTTGGTATGCAGCTCAGGGTTCTGTGACTGGGCCTCCAGGTCCAGGGTCTCTGACAATCATATGTGTGATCCTCACCAGATCGTTTCTCTGGTAGTTTCCACTGTACTTAAGGTTGCACAACAGTTTCCATTCTAATCCCCTGCTTTCACATGCTCAGCACTTTCTGGAACATTTATTTCTGAATTTGACAGCTTGATTCTTCCTGTACCTTTTAGACAGGGCTGCAGCAAAAGCAACCAACATCTGAAACTTGTTCTGGGCAGAATCTCACTGAGGTCTGGTACCTTGGCTTGATCTAGATAAAAATAGGTTTTGATTAACTCCTGACAATTTGCAGCTTGGTTACTGAACCTGTGAAGGTGCAACAGGGGGGGATAGCTCAGTGGTTTGAGCATTGGCCTGCTAAACCCAGGGTTGTGATTTCAATCCTTGAGGGGGCAATTTGGGGCAAAAATCTATCAGGGATGGTACTTGGTCCTGCTGTGAAGGTAGGGGACTAGACTCAACTCAATGACCTTTCAAGTTCTGTGAGATAGGTGCATATCTCCATCTATTTAAAAAAAAAAAATGAATTCTACAGGTTCACACACTGATTTTGGAAAGGCCTTTCACCCCTCCTCCATTTCTACTAGCACAATTGTTCACCCACCATTTTGCCGGCAATTCATTGCAGATTCAGTTAGTGGCACTTAGACATCTGGTACCTGATTTGCAGCAGAATAAGGCAGTTATATGACTAAGTGCTACCATTTGCACAAGTCAGTGTGTGCAAGATTCTGCCCAGGAAACCCTACGCAACTTTTAAAAATCAGAACCCTGGAGAAAGATGCAGCCTGCACATGGGCAGACCTAGCTACACTCACGCTTTACAAAATTTCCCAGCACTGAATCGTCATACTTTTAAAAATGACTGAAGTTTTTCAACCCTAGCTTGTTTTGTAGATCTCGTTGAGATCTACCAGTTAACCATGTTTGAAGAAAATCAGTTCAAGATTTTAAAAGTTATGAACACTGAAACACAGAAAACTCTGGGATCCCCTTAATCCATGCCCAGTGCTAAGGTTACATGCAGTGGTAGGGGAGTGTAGACCTGGCCTTCGCCTTCCACCCTAGCAGTCACTAGTTGATCCTTGCCTGACTGGGGCCTGGGTGGGAGCAGTGGTGGGTGCGGGCATACAGCTCCCAGCTTTGTCTGCTTTGGCAGGTGGTGGCGCTGAAGTTCATCCCCAAAGTCGGGCGATCGGAGAAGGAGCTGAAGAACCTGCAGCGGGAAATTGAGATCATGAGGGGGCTGCACCACCCCAACATCGTCCAGATGCTCGACAGCTTTGAGACGGACAAGGAGGTAAGAGGGTGGGGAGGCGCGTGCATTGTCAGCCGCACAGGTTCTCCTGAGGAGCCGTAGCTGGGCCCTGCCGGCAGGTGCTAGAGGTGTCCTGTCGCTCCCAGCGACGCCATCAGGGCAGGCGGCCCTGGCTGGAAGGAGCAAGCATTGGCCTTTCCTGGGACTCTGCTGTACGTTTCTCGCCCCGCCTGCCAGCGGCTGGGTGTGTGTCTCGCTGCACGGGTGAGTCCCATGTCAGACGGCACGGCGCTCATTGCCTCCCTCTGCTGCGTTCCCCAGGGCCCAGCGGGGTGTTTCCTCCGCCTTTTGGGCTCAATCCCGAGGCCTCACTCCAGAGTGCCACTAGGAGGCTGCCTGAACAAGGGTTAAGTCTGGGTCTCGAGCCCTGGCCAGACGTGCTGAAATCAGTGTCCTCGCCCGGCGGGTTTCCCAGCACCAATGCTCCAGCCATGGAGCCCGTCCCCAGGGGTCCCCAGGACACAGCTGGGCTTCGCACCTGCTCTCCGAGCTCCCACGATCCCTTCCTGCCTCCCCCCTGCAGGTGGTGGTGGTGACGGACTACGCGGAGGGGGAGCTTTTCCAGATCCTGGAGGATGATGGGAATCTGCCAGAGGACCAGGTAGCTCTGTGACGCTGACGCATCAGGGCCAGTCGGAGTCATGTCAGGCCTGGGGCGGGGCGTGGCGAGGGGCTCACGGTCCTCCAGGAAGTGCCAATGTTGCTTCTTCCGACAAGCGGATGTCAGAGCTGGCTGGACACTGCCGAGTCTTTAGTCCAAAGGGGAAGGAATCGGAGCCCAGAGGCAGGGGCGGGAAGGCTCTGATTGGCCAAGTGGGAGAGAGAACTCACCTTTCACCTCGACGTGAGCTGGATTCAAATCTAGCCTTAGGCTACAAGTGACATGAACTGGCTGGGTCTCAGCCTGCTTCTCACCTGTGTCCAGGACTGGAATAGGGATGAGGGGTGGGTCGGGATCAAAGGGCTAAGGCAGAGCTCTGTGCCTGGGCGGGGAGCCCAAGACTGCGATAACCGGAGGCTGTTGGTCAGGATTGAGGGGCCCTGGCAGAGCTGGGTGTGTGGAAAGTCTTGGGCTGTGGGTTGAGACAGAAGGGCATCGGCAGAGATCAGTGTGTGGGCATAGCCAGAGCTGGGCTAGCAGGGGGCTGCGGGGTGGGAGTGAGGGGCCCCGGCAGAGCTGTGTGTGTGGGGAGGAGCTGGGCTAGCAGGGGGCTGCGGGGCGGGAGTGAGGGGCCCCGGCAGAGCTGTGTGGGGCCCAGGACTGGGCTAGCAGAGGGCTGCAGGTCAGGAGTGAGGGCGCTGGCAGAGCTGTGGTCAGGACGCAGACTCGGCCGCTGAGGCCTCAGGGTGGCCGTGTCTCTCAGGTTCAGGACATCGCCTCCCAGCTGGTCTCCGCCCTCTATTACCTCCACTCCCACCGGATCCTGCACCGCGACATGAAGCCCCAGAACATCCTGCTGGGCAAAGGGGGCATCGTTAAGCTCTGTGACTTCGGGTAGGTGCCCAAGGAAGTCGCACGCCCTTGGCATCTGAGGCCATTGGGGCATTCGAAGGGTTCCTGGGCTGGGGGGCTCTTGGAGGCAGAATTAAGGGGCTCCCTCTCGCCCGGCAGGTTCGCTCGCGCCATGAGCATCAACACCATGGTGCTGACGTCCATCAAGGGCACCCCGCTGTACATGTCCCCCGAGCTGGTGCAGGAGAAGCCCTACGACCACACGGCCGACCTGTGGTCTGTGGGCTGCATTCTGTACGAGCTGTTCGTGGGGACGCCGCCCTTCTACACCAACAGCATCTTCCAGCTGGTCAGCCTCATCATCAAGGACCCCATCAAGTGGCCCAAAACCATGAGCCCTTCGTTCAAGGTAAAGGGGATGAGAGGTGGGCAGTCCCCCTGTAGCCACAGAGCCACAGCTGCCCTGGTTCCAAACAGGCCCCCCCTGGCTCCAACAGCCCCTCGTCAGACGAGGTCACTGAAGCCCCCTTTCCCAGGGGATGGGCTGTCCAGGCCAAATTCCTGCTTGGGAATCATGAGCGGTTCCACTGACTCCCCTTGCAAACTGGATTCTTCACTTCCTTCCCTGGTGAGCGGTGTTGCTGTACGCTGTTTGATGGCTGTGGGGGGCTCACCCCAGAGCTGGTTGCAAGGGGAGTCAGGGCCCTGCATGTTCAGTGCAGGATCCGCCCCTTGCTGCTGAATCGTCCTCTGGAATCTCAGCTTCTGTTTAAACAAATTGCTTCCAGCCCTTATGGTTGTGAAGAAACCCTTCCAGGGTGACAGAAGCGTAACTGACGCAGCAACGCCTGCCTGAGTTTGTAGACAGCCTGAAACAGCAGCTCTGAGGGACACAGACTGGCCCATGAATCTCAAGGGATGTTAACGCTGAAGCATAATGATGAGACACTGTATGCCAGCTTTGAACTATTTCAGTCATTTCAACAGAAACATGCATTTCTCCCCACTACGCCACACTCCCTTCCGAGCCAGGGGTAGAACCCAGGAGTCCTGCCTACCCATTAGGCTAGTGCACATGCCCAGTTCACTGTGTCCCAGCAATGGTGGGGGCACAGAGAGGCGGTGAGTGTGACAATGGGTCTCTGTGCCCCTGGGCAGAACTTCCTGCAAGGCCTGTTGATGAAGGACCCTCGCCAGCGCCTGTCGTGGCCGGAGCTCCTGTGCCATCCCTTCATCGCTGGACGGGTCACCAGTGAGTGCTCCCCCCCACCCGTCGCTCTGTTCCTGCTGGACTGGGTGCAAAGCCACCATCACCGCCCGCAGCTCGGCCACCCCCTCCGCCCCATCTCCCCTGGATGCAATGGGCAACTGCCTCGCCACCAACCCCCCAGCCCATGCCGTCTCCAGAGTGCCCATGGGGTGGCCTGTCCCCTCCAGTCCCTGGAGCTCCCCTCACCCCCCGTTATGGTTGCTGTGGTTCCTGACTGGGCTCACCCCCCCGCTCCCGGCAGTGATCGATGACATGGAGCAACACGGGATCGCGAACCCCTTCACCAGCAAGCTGCCCCCGGAGCTGCAGGTGCTGAAGGAGAAGCAGGCTCACTCGCTGGCCCCCAGGAGCGGCCAGTCCAAGATCCTGAGGAAGGCGCAGCAGAAGATGGCTGAGGCAGCCCGGAAGAAGGTGTGTGTCTGGTGTCCTGCGGGCTGGGCAGAGCCCTCACTGCAGCGGCGCTGGGAGCTCACTGGGACACACGGAGCCTAGGAGGGAACTTGGCCAGGGGCTGAGCGAGAGACCGAGCAGGGCCCCTCCAGCTGGAGGTCCCCGAGGAAGTGGGAGGGGGAGTGAAGCCAGGAGATGGTTGGGACAGTTACACGGTAGGGTCCATGGGGGATCAAGGGTGAGATCGGAGTCTGGGGGGGTCGGTCAGTTACAGGGAGAGAGATCCCCTGATGACTGGGGGGACTGAGTGGGGACAGGAGCCCGAGGGATTGGTCAGTTACACAGATAGGGCCCCAGGGGCTGGGTGAGAGTCGGGCTTGGTCAGTTACAGGGAGATGGGTGTCTGGGGCTTGTCAGTTACAGGGAGAGAGACCCCGCCCCCCGATGAGAGGGGAGTGGAGGCAGGAGTCTGGGATCTTGGTCAGTTACACGGAGATCTAACCTGGCTGAAGCTCTTTGGTCTTTTCCAGGAGCAGCTGAAGGCAGACGCGCCGTCTAACAAGGAGGCAGCCAGCGGAGGTCTGGGGCACAAACCCAAAGCAGCCCCTGGGAAGGCAGCTCTCAGGGAGGGGGAGCAGGCAGCCCGCGCTCCGGGCTCCCCTCCTGAAGACGAGAACAAAGCCATCCTGGGAGAAGAGCCCCAGGCCGAGTGGGAGACAACGGAGCCTCCCCCGACGCCGCGGTGAGGGGCAGGGGTGCCTGCCCTGGCTCAGCTGGGTCTGTGGGTTTCCGGGGGGGGCGGGGGAGGGGACTGGGCTGGGGGGCACCCGTCAGCCAGGAGATGGCGCAGGACGGGTCTCTAGCTGCACTGCTTCTTGGGCAGGGAGCACCGGATCACACAGGATTACGAGCGGGAGTTCCCGGAGGTGGAGATGGGGGCTCCCACGCCGGTGGGGGGCAGCGAAGCGGGGCCACGCGGCAGGCGCAGCATCGAGACCGTGGACCTGGAGAACGAGGTGAGAGGTGACGGGGTGCGGGCTGGGGCCCTTGGGAGCTGGTTTGAGGGCTCTGGAGAGTCTGGGGCAGGCGTGGCCCCACTCCCCTCAACCTGATGGTATCGAAGTGGCCATCTCCCCACTCTTGTGACCTTTGACTTAGGAACTGGATAGTGACGACGAATGGCAGCATCTGATCGAGGCCACGGAACCCGCCACCATGCAGCTGAGCACGCCCCTGAGCCTTCTGGGGGACCCGGCCTTCCTGCAGCGCATCCGGGCCCGGCTCCAGCACTCCAGCCAGCAGGCGAGTGGGGCCAGCCGGGGGGAGCGGGCTGGGGGCAGCCATTCCTTATTCCCAGCTCGCTATTCAAGGAAGGGCTCGGGACTGGGAGGCAGGAGATTGGACTCGGTTATCAGCCGTGTTACCTTGCGGGACCCAGGGAGGGAGGGAGAGAGAGAGAGAGAGAGAGTGTGTGTCCTGTGCCTCAGTTTCCCCATCTGCACAATGGGGATCATGATCCCGACTCTCTTCCATAAGTGCTTTGCGTCGGCGTGGAGACAGGTGAAGGAAGCGCCTAGGACAGGGAGCTCGGAGCAAGGCAGGGAAGCCTTTCCCTCCCCCTGCATTGGTGACCCTGGGGGAAACACCTGGATCCATCCATCCCCCCTCCTATCCAGGGGAGGAAGTTCCTCCTTTGTCCCCAGAGATCTGAGCTCTCCTGTTTGGTGGATCCCTGCTCTGCCCCCTCCCCGTGATGAGAGGAGCTCTGTGGCTGGCAGACATGCTGCCCATGCCAGTGCCAGGGTGCTCACATCACAGGCCCCTCCTCTGCCTCTCCGTGCCCAGGTGCTGGAGGGGATGTTGGAGGGAGCGTCTCATCTCCGCCCTGCCCTCCGCGTCCTGGGCAACCTGCTCGCCACCAGGTGTGACTCAGAGCTTCTGTACAGCTTCTGCCAGGCCGCGGATTTACCTCACTTCCTGCTGCACCTGCTCGGGCAAATCCTGCAGAGCGCCAGCAGCAAGCAGGTGGGTGCGGGGAGTGCTGGGTATGCGTGTGCCCCCCCCCCCCCCCAGAGGCTAGTTCTGCACATGCTGAGGCATGCCAGGCCGCCGGGGCAAGGGTGGGGGAGGCCTGGGGGGGGGGGTGTCGCCCCCTAGAGGCTGTTGTATCATCACCGCTGCATGAGTTCAGTTGTGGCCCCCCTCCATCTCTGGGTGTGCTACCTCCCGGAGCTAACCCTGAGGGACTAGCGCCCCCTTGCAAGCCCCTGTCAGAGGGGGAAGGGTCCTGTGGTGCCATAGGGCCGGGCAGTTTGGCTGCCAGCCTGTCTGAGTGGCGCTCCCTGGCACATGGGTTCTTTCCTGCTCCCGCAGCAGCCCTGGTGCATCACGCTGCTGACGGACCTGGTTGGCGTGACAGCGGCCTATTTCACCAGTGAGTCCCACCTGCAGCGGAGCCGGAGGAGAAGGTAGAGTGGCCGCCGGCGGGGGGGGGGTGGCCTGTACTGGAACCGGAGTCTCTGAGAGGCACTGCACTGAGATCCCCTCCCACCCTTCTCCCCACCAGCCCCTCACGTGCCGGCTCCATCCTCGGGGCCACACTCCAGGATTAGAGCTCGCAGCATGGGGGAGAGACCCGAATGTGGCCCCTCCACAGCACGGTGTCCTCCAGGGCTCTCAGTCAGGATCATCATCCCCCATTGTACAGATGGGGAAACCGAGGCACGGAGGGGGGGCACGGATACTCCCAGATCCCACAAGGTAGCAGAGCTGACGAGTTCAGACTTTCCGTCTCCCAGTCCTGAGGCATCCTCACTGGGCCGTGGTGCCTCCGCTGGGGCTGACCTGCCCGTTAGCCAGACACCAGCCTCCCTGGGCTGCCCTCCCCCGGGGGCTCTGCAGTATGGGCGCAGCTGGCAGATCCCATGGGGAGAGCTGGTCCCATTGCCTGGCTGAGCGTGTAGTTCATCGGGCGACCCCTGGCCCCCAGGGCCTCGCCTCCACCGACACCCGCCTCCCCCAGCCTGCAGGTTTTCCACGAGGCGGCTGCCGGCTTCCTCTCTCTGCTGCCCCAGCTGCTGGCCCAGCCAACGGATGTCGAGACAAGGCTTCGCGAGCAGAGCAGCATGGTAAAGGGGCCCCTCCCGCGTGCTCGGCTCCCTCTCGCACCCCCCTACTCACTCGCTGGGCGCCTCCCGTGCGCTCCCGCGGCCTCGTTCCTGTCCCCTTGCCTCTTCCTTGTGTCTCCCCCCCCCCCCCCCGCCAGCCCTGCCCCTGGAGGGGCAATCCTGCGAGCTCCTGCGCGCTCCGACAGCCCAGCGCGAGGCCTCGTTCCCGACCCCTCGCCCCTTCCTTGTGTCTCTCCCCTCCCTGCCAGCCCTGCCCCTGGAGCGTCAATCCTGCGGGCTCCTGCGCGCTCCGACGGCCCAGCGCGCGGCCTCATTCCCGTCCCCTCGCCCCCTCCTTGTGTCTCTCTTCCCCCCCCCCCACGCCAGCCCTGCCCCTGGAGGGGCAATCCTGCGGGCTCCTGCGCGGTCATGGCTCAGAATCATCCGGGACCCCCTCCCCTCTCAGGCCTAGAGCCTCCACCCACGGCCTCCCCTTCCCTGCCCCGTCCCTCTCCCCAGCCGTGCGGTGATTGCAGATCTCTGGGTCCCTCTGCAGTGCTTCGCCCGGCTCTGTGAGGGCATGGACAGCAGCAGCCCCTGTGTGTCGGGCCCCTTCTACGCCAGCCTGCTCGCCAAGCAGCGCCCCCTGCTGGACGCACTCCTCCAGGGGGCCACCCTGGAGCAGCCCGCTCCAGAAGGTAACGCTCTCCCCGCACCTGGGATGAATGGGGGGATATCCCCCTGGTGGGGGCAGCCCCACATCTGCCTGGTGGCTGGGCTTCCTCCGGCCCCTCGGGCTGGCAGGGTCCCCAGCGAGCTGCAGTCACCGCCCACGGGTCTTTGTTCCTCATTTTAGTGCTGGGGAAAGTAAGTGACCGATGGCCCTGATCAGAGCCAAGGGTAGAACAGACAGTTCCCGCTCCCAGCTCTGCCGGTGCCCCTCAATCCCGACCCGCAGCCCCCTGCTAGCCCAGCTCTGTGCTCCTCCCCACACAGCCCTGCTGGTGCCCCTCAGTCCCGACCCCCAGCCCCCTGCTAGCCCAGCTCTGTGCTCCTCCCCACACAGCCCTGCTGGTGCCCCTCAGTCCCGACCCGCAGCCCCCTTCTAGCCCAGCTCTGTGCTCCTCCCCACACAGCCCTGCTGGTGCCCCTCACTCCTGACTTGCAGCCCCTGTGCACTAATTGTCCATCTGGCTGTCTCAGCAGCCCGATCTTTGTTCATAAGTACGTGTCTTCTTTGATCTTTCGTCCCTGCCCAGAGCCAGCGAGGGAGGCGAAAGCTGCGCGGGAGCAGCGGGAGCGTGGGGCAGATGTCTTCACAGCAGCACTGGCCGCAGTCTGCAGCCTCCCCGTGGGGCGGAACGGGTGCCAGGAGGCCAAAAAGCAGGTCAGGAGCTCGGCCCGTTCACGGTTCCTTCCCGGCTACGAGGCAACAAGTGCCCTGCGAGCGCCCTGCGTGGCTGAAGGTGACCCTTCCTGACGGGGTCACTGCCACCACCCTGGCCTGATCTAGAGCACTGTACAGACGCTGCCCAGGGGACACTCGCGTGCAGCCACCTCTGGGGAGGAAAGTGGCAGGTGTATAACAGCGCACAGCAGTGCCACGCAGCAGCTCAGGACAGGGAGTAAATGAGGCTCCCGTAGGCAATGGAACACATGGGGGGAATGCAATTATCCCCGCTGGGATCTGAGCAGGACGCTGGGTAAACGCCCCGACGCGGGCGCAGAGACAGCGCGAGAGGGTCTTTAACAGCCCTAGGCGGGCTCGGCCACGGTGTTACACCTTCTTCAAAAGAGAATGCAGCGTTCCCCCAGGGCCGTGCTGGGGAGAGCGCCCCCTACTGAGCCCCCACCCTGCTCCCTGCAGCACGGCGCCCCCTAGCGCCAGCACTGACTGCCAGGGGAGAACGGCCCCTAGTGACCCCACCCCACTCCCTGCACCACAGCGCCCCCTAGCGCCAGGCTGGGGCATTGGGGCCAGCACTGGCTCAGAGGCGAGAGCCCCCCAGCTCCCTGCAGCAGAGTGCCCCCTACCACCTAGGTCACTAGCAGGTCTCTGGGGCTGTGATCCTCTTGTCTGGTTTCCCACAGGTGGCCCAGCAGGTGGCTGAGAAACTGACGGAGGAAAACAGCTGGCTGCTAGTGAGGCTGCTGGCGGGACTCGAGCGCCCGGCTTGCTCCCTGAACGTGCTGAAGGTAACGGGTCCCCGGGCTGACCCCGTCGTGCCTCCATTGCCCCTTGGTGGGCTTCCGTGGGGCCAATGGGATGGGCCTGTGAGTGGCGTGGCCCCCAGCTGTGCTCTCCCCTGGGGATCAGATCCAGCCCTGGCCCCACTGCGGTAGCTCCCACAGCATGGCACCCATGGGGCACCAGTCGTGCCAGATAGCAACGGGCCCGCTGCTGTCATGGTGGCAGACCTCAGCCATCCTGCCTTCTCCCCGCTGGGTCCCTTGGGGCCCGCCTGCGATGTGGGGTCACCATGAAACCGAGCCCACGACGGCCTGTGGTCTGGTCATGGGTCTCTGTTCCCCTCCCGGGGGGACAGGGCACTTCTTCCCCCCTTCTCCTTTCCTAGCTGGGCTCCCGGCTCTGTGTGTCCCCCGCGCTGACCTCTGCTGTCCCTCTGTCCCCCAGGTCTTGTACTCCTGCGGCCACGCCAGTAAAAGCCTGTGCCGGCTCCTGGCAAAGGGGCAGCAAGTGCCGAGCTCCCTGGCCCGGCTGGTGAAGGGCGAGGTACGTCCCTCTCACCCCACGGAGACCCCCGGGGGGCGGATCGCGGTACAGCTGGGCTTCTCCCTCTGTCAGACTCCTGCTGAGCACGGACTAGATCCAGCCCCCGGCTGGGGGAGCTCATGCCCTCGCCCACCGGCTGGGGGGGGGGGGGGGGGGAGGGAGGTTAGCCAGGGCCTGGCAGGGGAGGAGTTGGGACCAGTTTGGTGAGAGGCGGGGGCAGGGCGGGGTGGAGGTAACCAAGAAAGGAACCATTGTCCCAGGTCTGCCTCTGGTCTGAGCAGCCCAGTGATTCAGTGGTGCCCACCCTGGCAGCCTTTGCCCTCCTGCCCAGCGCCCAGGTCTCTCTGCCCCCAGCCCTGAGCTCTCTCCTTTGCAGGTCCCGATGGGGGAGCGGCTGCGGGTGCAAGCCTGCGAGGCGTCGCTGCACCTGCTGTCCCTGCTCGCCCTCCAGCTGCAGGCTCTCCCTCCCCGGTGAGTGTGTCTGCCCCCACCCCGTGCCCGGCCTGGGCAGGGACGTTGGCCGTTCAGCGCCTGCGGGGTGAGCTGGGGGGCGTGGGTCTAGTCTACTCCACACGCCCCTTCCCCAGTGGCTGGTGGCCGCAGCAAGATCTGCTCTTAGATGGGATCCCTGCCAGGGCCGGGCTGCAGCTAGCGCTGGACCTCCCCGTGGGCAGAGCGTTTCAGGGAAGCTGCGGTGACCCTTCTCCTGCAAAGGAGCCCATCAGCTTTGTGGCTGCAGGCCAGGGGTGCTTTCCCCTCGGAGTCAGCGCTGACCGCAGTGGGGCGATAGGGGGCGCGGGGCTGCGGGGAACAGGATGTGGGGCTCAGTACAGATCCCAGGGCGGCACTAGGGGGCGCTGGGCTGCTGCAGTACCACTTTTCTCAGAAGACAAGACAGGAAGCCCTTAGTCTCAGGGGTTTTCCCAAGAACCAGACTCTGGACCCTCCTGCCCTGGCCAAATGCCAGCTGGGCAGCTTCATTCCGCCTCCCGAAAGTCCTCGGCAGTGTGTTGAATTACGGGATTGCGTCACCAGCGTTGCTATATACTGTGACCCAGCTGCTGCATTGCCTCTCAGAGGTGGCCGCCTTTCAGTGCTGGGGGAAGTGGTTGCTGTCCGTGATCAGTTTGCCCAGCTCTGTAGGGCCTGCTGGGGTGAGTCAGTCCCCGGCAGGGATCGATTTCCCAGCTTCTCCTGATGCCTGGGTCTGGGTCGCTGTGTTTCAGGGTGGACCTGGTGGTGAGCGCCGCCGCCGAGCTCTTCACCCAATCGGCTGTCGTCTCCCTCGTGGTGAGTCCGTCCGCCTGGCACAGCCCCACCCAACTGGCTCCTGTCCCGGGAGGACCGTGCCTGGCTTGAAACGGCCTAATCCCCATCCGTGTATGGGCAGAGCCCTGCATCTCTGCCTAACCCTTCCCATTCAGGGAGCTAGCTGCAGTCAGACTGTTCCTACACTCAGGGGGAGGGGGTCACAACCAAATCCCCATAGACTGAGGGGTGTGGGGGCAGTCTGGCTGATCCTACACCCGGGGGGAGATGCTCACAGTCAGATCCCCATGGGCGGGGGGTAGAGGGGCAATCTGACTGTTCCTATACCTGGGGGGAGATGCTCACAGTCAGATCCCCATGGGCGGGGGCTAAGGGGTCAGTCTGACTGTTCCTATACCCGGGGGGAGATGCTCGCCGTCAACTCCCGGTGGGCGGGGGAAGGCGTGCCGGAGGAAGGGTGTGGCCAGCTGTACGTACCCCCGGACTGTACGGTGCTGACTCTCCCCTCCCCTGCAGAGCGCCGCAGGATTCCTGCTGGCTCAGCTCGGCCAGCACGGGGCAGCCATCGAGGTGGGGTGCGAGGAGGCCATGCCGGCCATGACAAATGCACTCACTGCGCCTGCTGAGGTAAGGGGCGACCAGCCAGGGGGCTGCCCCGTGGGCGGGCACGGCCAGGAACCCCCAGTGCACCCCAGCGAAGGGACGGACAGGCCCTGACCAGGCCACCCGCGGCTCAGCACGAATCCAGTCCGGCCCGTCTGATGCCGTGGGAGCGTTTGGAACCGCCCAGTTGTAGAGCCCAGTACCCAGCGCTGACCTGGGCCCCTCCTGCCCCACTTCTCTTCCAGCTGCACCTGCCCCCACCCATGGGCGCCGGCCTCTACGATGGATTCCTGCTTCTCCTGCTGCAGCTCCTTGCCCAGGTACCTCGCTGCCTGCTTGGATCCGGCGCCGGGACTGCCTTGGCGAGAGGCTGCTGGGGACCAGAGGGGGTGGTCAAGGGTCAAACCAGGTGTCCCGGATCCACACGATTGGGGCTACGCCCCCAGCTGTGGAATGGTCTTTTGGCGCAACCCCTTCCGTGTGCCAGACCCCCACGAGGTCTCACTCCTCCTCCTGGGTCAGCCCCGAGGCCTCCTCAGACCGGACCCCCCCCCCACCCATCCTTCCCGGTCCTTTGTTCTCCAGCTGGGGGCGTGGCTCCGCTTCCCTGCCGAGAGGTGGGGAAATCCGTCTCCCTCTGGCTGTCAATGGCCTGGGGATGGCTTCATGAATTCTGCATTGATGGGGGGGTCAGCCAGTCCTTTGTAATGACCTGTCCCGCCTCAGCCAGCTACGCACCATTCATACCTGTCTCTTAGCCTGCCCTGCCACCAAACAGTCCTCCGCCCCCACAGGGTAACAATGCAAATAGGGGGGAAACTGAGGCACACACAGGCTTCCTGAAAATGTTACCGGAAAGTCCGGATGCCCCTGACTGAGGGAGAGGAAGGGCCCCGGGAGTGGTGCAGTGGGGGAGGCGTGAAGTGAGACGGAGACACAACGCCCAGTGCACTGACACCTCCATTCCCAAAGCGAGCCGTGATCTGGGGGTCTCCCTGAGGGGGCCTGGGTTTCAAAGGGGGGCGCTTGGCACTTCTGACCTCCAGCCCCTTTAAGGTGGCACAAGCAGGGCCCCCAGTTCCCTAGTCCCGGGACTCGCTGGGGAGCGGCTGCTGGGGAGATACCAGCGGGCTATGTGATTGCAGGGGGACGGGGAGGCAGGGGCTGGGGACTGGCTCGTCGGGGTTGGGGTGCCCATGAGACCATCTCTCTATTGTGATGTGGCCTTGAAAGAGTCTGAGCCCCTGGTCCAGTCTGGTGAGGTGCTGACACCCCACCCCGGCTCCCCCGGGGCCAGGCCCTTACTTCAGTGGGCGTACCAGCTGCCTACCAGGCTCTGGGTTTGGCCCCTTGGTGGTGGCGAGGGTTGAGGGTGCTCCGCCTCGCGCGGCACGGCCTACCGACTGGCGTTCTCCCTCCACCAGGGCGACGCGGTGACGGTGCGTGGGTTTGCCGGCTCGGAGCTGTGGAACGTCGCCTGGCACCGTTTCGCCATGATGCTCCGCTTGGCCGCCGCCGAGCCGGTGATGGAGGGCGAGACGCCGCGGCCAGGCCAGCCCACTCCGGAGCCAGACTGGACCCTCGTCTCCCCTCAAGGTAGGGAGGGAGGAATGTCACTTTCACCGGTGGCCTAAGACTACATGTCCCAGAATGCTCTCTGGCCGGTAAATATCCCCCACATCTGGGAGCTGGTACGGGAGGTACTTTGTGCAGGATCCCACGAGGGGTGGAAGCTGCTTCCTTCACGCAGGGCAGCTCTTCACATGAGCTTCTGGAGGTGTGGGAAGCAAAGATTCCTCACTTGCTAATCTCCATGGAGACAGCTGAGATGAATGGATTCCCTCAGCCTGGAGCTCCGGCCCTCCCGACCCCATTAGCATGGCTCCTGCGGCAGGTTCCTTTGAAGACTCATACGTGCGCCCAGATGCAGCCTGGCTGTGGAATTTTTGAAGGGTGAAGAACGTGAGGAAGGACGGCCCAGTGGTTAGCCTGGCACTCAGGAGACCTGGGTTCCATTCCCGGCTCCCCCACAGACTGAGATTGTCACTTAGGCTCTCTGGGCCTCAGTTTCCCAGCTGCCCAAGGGGATGACAGCCCTGCCCCCCAGTGGGCTGTGAGGTGTTCAGATACCCCAGTGATGGGGGGCCGATAGGTGCCTTAGCTAGAACTTCAGTTGAAGGTTTGTGTCTCGGTGTGGAGCCGTTCATGTATCTCCCGATCTACCCAAGCATCTTCTGCCTCACTCCTGGGTTCAGCCCTTCCCTCAGGCAGCAGAAGTCTGGTCTCTTGGTTTATTAGTAGCTAGATCATACCCAGCGCCCCCTCACCAGGTCTCTAAAGCCCCCTTGGCATTCTGGGACATTAACATGGGCCTTATGAAGCCAAGGCTGGTGCTTGGTGACCAAGGTGATGGGTGCCTTAGACATCCAGACTGATTCGAACGTGGCAGCCCGTCTTCCTGGGGCAGCGACCTCAGCCACAGAGCCAGTGAGCCGCAGGGGCCAGTGACTGAGCCGGCCTACGCCGCGTCCTCAGGGGCTGGTGTCCCTGCCCGTGCTGGGAGGCAGCAGCCACCAGGCTGGGAGCTGGCAGGAGAGGAACAGGGAAGCTGCTATGGAGCCTCTGGAGAGGAGGGACAGCTGAGCCCGGGGGTGCAGACCCCCTGGTGGGTTGCTTGCCGTTCAGCAGGCCCGTCTCCAGGAGATGACATTCGGGGTCACTTGGACACTGGGACGCAGCCTGCCTCAGACCCGTTCCCAGGCAGCTCTTCTGGAGCCTCCCGGCTCGACGGACGCTTCACTGGCTCTGCCTGGTCTCGGGCAGGAGGAGTGGGGACCTGATCGCAGGAGCGCTCCCCACTCTGCCTCATGCCTGCGAGGCAAGATGGAGCGGCCTGGCTGCCCCAGAACCCGCCCAGTGCCTGGGATGGGGGGGGGGGGCAAGACTCATTGCTCACCCCTCGTTTCACCTGTCTGCCAACTTCCCCATCCCCTGCAGGCACCGCGCTCTTCCTCAGCCTGACCCTCTTCGTCTTCACCCGAGAGCCTCACCAGTGCCTTCCTCAGCTCGCCCACCCCGACAGCGTCATCATGGCAACCTTCCCCAAGCTGCTTTCCCTCGACTTCCTGGGTCACCTGGCGCAGATGTGAGTTCCAGCCAGTCAGGAGCTTGGCTGGGCGGGACGTGGGGGCTTGGTGACCGGCGGTGCCATGGGGAACGGGGATCTAGAGAACACGCTAACTCGGAGAGGTGCAGAGAAGAGGCTTAGGCTATGTCTACACTACAGGATTAATCCGAATTTAGATAATTCGAATTTGGGAAACAGGTTGTATAAATTCGATTGTGCGCGGCCACACTAAGCACCTTAATTCGGTTTTTAACCACATTAATTCGGTGGTGTGCGGCCACACTACCCCATTAACTTAAACACAGTAATTCGGTTGTGTGCGTCCACACTAACCCTAATTCGAATTAACAAAATCGATTTAGGCTCTACTCTGTTTGTCGAGGTGGAGTACAGAAATCGATTTAAAGGGCCCTTTAATTCGAATTAACTGGCTCTGTAGTGTGGACGGGTGAAGGGTTAATTCGGATTAACGCTGCTAAATCCGAATTAAAGTCCTAGTGTGGACCAGGCCTCAGAAATCCTGCCTCAAAGAGCCCAGTCTATGGATCTTATCACAGAGTCAGTTTCAGGGCGACTTGATCAGTCTCTAAGTATCTACATGGGGAACAAATACGTGAGAACAGGCTGGTCGGTTTAGCAGAGAAAGGGTTAACACAGTCCAATGGCTGGAGCTGAAGCTAGACTGGAAATCGGGTGTACGTTTGTAACAAGGAGGGTAATGAACCACCGGAACAACTTCCCAGGGGTTGTGGTGGAATCGCCATCGCTGGTGGTTTTCCCCCCAAGATTGGGTGTTTCTCTAAAAGCTCTGCTCTAGGAGTCACTGGGGGGCAGGTCTCTGGCCTGAGCTCTACATGGGGTCAGACCAGATGATCACAGTCCCTGCTGGCCTTGGAATCTGGGACTCTAAGGGCAGCCGAGACACAACTGGCCCTGTTGGCGTGTGCGTGCTGCTGCGGATGGCCCCACTCAGACAGCTGGCACAGTGTGGACCGATGGGCCATTGGTGCCCCGAGGAACAGTACAACCACTCAGACCTCCCCGCTGGGCCTAGCATTGTGGGGCTCATCCATCTGATCCTCTCTGACCCTTTGACCCCAGGCAGGTGGGGGAGGACGGTGATCCCGAGCTGGTCTCAGCTGTGGTGCTCCAGGCCTGCCAGCTGCTCTGCTTCCCCTTCTCCTTGGACGTGGACACTGAGACCTTCAGGTGGGTCATGAAGGCCCTGAGAGACGCCGAGATCCCCGCCCATCTCCTCCAGGTACCCAGGAATGCTCCCTCCCTCCCATTGCTTGGGCTCTGGAGCCGTGATGAACAGGCACCAGGCTCTCTGTCTGGACTCCATGCTCCCTTTCTCTCCGCCCACCCCACCTCTCTTGCTCCCCGCGTGCCAAGCAGAACCCTGGAGACCTCCCCTCCCATTTCTGCCTCTTGTCCTCTCAGCAGCTGCCATCTCTCCTCCTTCTAGGTCTGCTGCCACCATCTACCCGTCTCGGAGACCGCGCTTCCCATGAGCCTCCTGTGCCACCTCGTCCTGTCCGACCAGCGGGTCATCGACCAGTTGGTGGGGGTGGCTGCTGTCTCGGACTGCGCCACCGCCTTCCTGTCGGCCATCTTGCTTTCGGACAGCCCTCTCCTCACGATGGACCTCCTGTCCCTCCTGACCCACGTGGCCCGGACCTGTCCCGCTCACCTGCCTTTCCTCCAGAAGATCCTGGGCGGCTCGGACTCAGCCTACCAACTGCTGAGCCACCTGCTGTGCCACCAGGAGCACCCGATACGCGCCAAGGCCTGCAGCCTGGTGGGGAACCTGCTGCGGCACGGCCAGGACTTCCCCCGGGCGCTGCGGAGCCAGGCGGGCCTGCTGGAGTGTCTGCTGGAGCGCCTGTCGGACCAGGACGAGAGCGTGCGCAGGTCGGCCAGCTTCGCGGTGGGCAACGCTGCCTATCAGGACGGCTCCCTCCCGCACGCCCTGGGGAAAGCCGTGCCCAGCGTGGTGAGGCTTTTGAGCGACCCCCAGGCCAAAACCCGGTGTAATGCTGCCTCCGCTCTGGGGAACTTGGGCAGGCAGCCAGCGGACCTGGGGGACGTGCTGATCCAGAACAGAGCCCCCCATCTCCTGCTGGACGTGGCCTGCCACGACTCCCAGCCAGCTGTGCAGGAGGCAGCACTGATCGCCCTGCGGTCCATCAGCCAGCAGCCAAAGATACACCAGGTCAGGAGCGCCTTGTCAGATTTCGGGGGGGGGGGGCGTGAATTTCAGCAGGGGTCCATCCCCCTCCCTCCCTGGGGAAGCTCCCCGGCCAGGCCTGTCCCCTTCGGTTCTCTCCCCACCTCTGCCTCCCTCTGGGCCTGGCCACTCGCAGGGCTTGGGGGGCACCAGCCTGTTGTTAAGGGGTGGCAGTGGGGGCTTCTGCACCGTGCCCACGCCCCACATGCTGGTCGCTCTCCAGAGTCACTAGCGCCAGGAGACTGCGGTGATGGCGTCCTGGGCCCGGTGCCCCTCATCGCCACCATCTGGGAATTCCCAGCTCTCCCCCCATGGGGAGTCCAGTCTCGTGCCCCTGGGGCAGGGAAGGTGGGTGGCAGTCTTGTGCCCCGCGGGGCAACCTAAATGATGCTCCTGCACCAGGCGCCATCCAGCCTCCCTCTGCATCCAGAACCCTCAGGCCCATCCCTCCATCTTCTCATCCTGATTCTGTGAAGCGCTCTGAGCTCCACATGTCACCTAGAAAGCTGGACTTTAGGCCTTGAGATGCGTGCAGACTAACGGGCAAAGAGGGTAGATGGGGCAGGGCCCCCTGGCAGGGAACGTGGCGAAGGCAACGCACAGCGCAGCCCGGGCTGCCTTTGTGATGAGTGTCATTTCCTTTGGGTTCCAGGTGCTCGTGTCTCTCAAGGCCAGCGAGAAGCTGCTGGCACTTTCCGTCAGCGAAGCTCAGACCAGTTCCTATGGGAGCCCCCGACCGTCTTCAGCTCATCACTGCAAGAAGCTCATCCACCTTCTGCACCCAACACACAGTGCCTGAGAACAGCAGGTCTCTGCCCTGGGAGAGACCGTTCCACCCACCTCTTGAGGACGACACTTAGTGCCCGAATACAGGGGACACTCCCGTACTCTGTCCAGAAACAGGGGCCACCACCCCCATCTCCTGAGACTAACGCAGTGCCTGAGCTTGGCAGGTCCCCGTGGAGTTGTGGGAGACCACCCTGACAACAGTTGGTCAAGAAACGTATCTGATAAAGACAGAGATGGGTGAAATACGGTGTGTGTGAGAAAGAAACTGGAACTCCTCCTCCTCTTGATCCAGATCCCTGCTCTCCAATGAGACCCCTCTTTGCCAGTCCTGAGAAAGATCATGCCAGCAACTCCTTTTCCTGTCCTTTCATAGAGATCTCTCCAACCCAAATGTGGTGCCCCCCAAACTTCCTCAGGGACAGATGTTAATTAATGCCCCATCTTGTACTATCTCCACCCCCACCACACTTCATTCCAAGAGAACCTTGGAATGAACCCAACCCTGTTTCCAGGCTGAATCCAACCAACCAGGTCTAGCTTCTACTTCGAGGTTCTTCTGACTCCAAGCGCCTTCTGGGGAAGGAGCCTCTAAACCTAAAGAACCCAGCTTTCAAAAAGGGGTCTCATGCTTACTGAGATGTGCCTTATGGTCACCTAGGTTGAGCCATGCAGGGGATCCAGCCCCAAGATCCAGTGTGCCTTTGGCCTCTCCCCACCTCAGTCTCTCTCCCACCAGAGAAGTGCCCTATCTCTCCCCATCCTCCTTGAATGATCTCCAGCAGGATCAGATTTAATTGAACCAGATCCTGGATGGACTAAACCCAACACCAAGCCTTGATGGTTCAGGGACTCTCTCCAGGACACATTCCACTTACTTACTGACTGCAGGGTCCAGGTGATACAAGCCAGACTCGGCATCAGATTCCCAGCAGAGCTGGAGCTCAGGGTATGTCCAAGATTCTGTTCACAGCTGCTGAAGGCTTCTTTTCTGTGGTGACGTTGGGGATTGTTTCCCTGGCTCAGCTTCATGAAGATGGGTTCGCTTCTCCTGTTATTCCTGGAGTGTGTGGTGGGGATTCTACTCTGCGGCTCTGACTGAAGTCTGAAGGTTTCTCCTAATCTACGTGCTCCATCATGCTGCGACCCACCGCCTTCGTGAATGAGAGCTGGACAGTCAAGTGCCATCAGCGGAACCTGCTAGCGTTCCTTAATCAGCCAGAGGGGTCGCATTTGGGCAATGCCAGGCACGTCCTCCCTGAGGTTCCGTGTACCACCTCAATGCTTGTGGGTCCGAACACACTCGATCCTCTGGGTTCATAGTGGTATTTGGGTGTCCATAGAAGCCCTTGGCTGGACTTATCCAACCTTCATTTTCTAGCCATTTGTAGCGACTCTTTTATAACAGAGACTTTGTGTGACGTTGGTTTGGAGTCACTTTTCTAGATTTATTTTTTGTACTTTTGCATTTACGTTTGTAATTTATTATAATAAACGGCTCTTCCCTTCCTGGGAAAGTTTCCTGCTGAGCGTGTGGATCCCTTAAAGAAATGAACAGAACTGGCATTTGGTCAGCGTGTAATGGGCTCCAGGGATCCCAAAGAGCTTTACCCTGAAAAACGTTCCAGAGCAGCGAAAATCTAGATCACTGATACTCTAACCTGTGGCTCCTTGGGGCCCTGCAAGAGTCTACATAAGAAACCCAAGAATGGCCAGACTGGGTCAGATCAATGGTCCATCAGCCCATCTTCCAACAGTGGCCAGTGCCATGTGCTTCAGAAGAAATGAGCAAAACAGGCAATCATAGAGTGATCCATGTCATCTCCCAGTTCTGGCAGTCAGAGGCTAGGGACACCCAGAGCAGGGGGTTGTGTCCCTGCCCATCCTGGCTAATAGCTATCGATGGACCTGTCCGCCGTAAATTTATCTAGTTCTTTTTTTGAACCCCCTTATAGTTTTGGCCTTCACAACATCCCCTGGCAACTAGTTCCATATCTTTTTTGAGATGGGGCGACCAGATCTGCACGCAGTATTCAAGGTGTGGGTGTACCAAGGATTTATGTAGCAGCAGTATGATATTTTCTGTCTTATTATCCATCCCTTTCTAATGGTTCCTAACATTCTGTTCGCTTTCTTTGACGGCCATTGCACATTGAGTGGATGTTTTCAGAGAACTATCCACGGTGACTCCAAGACCTCTTTCTTGAATGGTAACAGCTAATTTAGACCCCATCATTTTGTCTGTATAGTTGGGATTATGTTTTCCAATATGCATTACTTTGCCCCTTATCAACACTGAATTTCATCTGCCATTTTGTTGCCCAGTCACCCACTTTAGTGAAATCCCTTTGTAACTCTTCGTAGTCTGCTTTGGACTTAACTATTTTGAGTGATTTTGTACCATCTCCAAATTTTGCCACCTCTCTGTTTACCTGTGGTCACCCTTGTCCACATGTTTGTTGACCTCCCCAAAGAATTCTAATAGATTGGTGAGGCATGATTTCCCTGTAGTCCTCTCCTGGAATCTGCTTGTTTAATCAGATGAAGTACAGTACTACATCCCCATCTAGGTCAGACCTGGGTAGTTGTCTCTAGCTTCTTTATCCTGGCTCACACATGGCTTTGGTCATTCATGCCTATTCGGCTGGCTGGGACCATGGCATTCTCCTCATCTCTTTTAGAAAACGGTGGGATCGTTATCTTTGACCTGGGCACACGCCAGGGCTGGGGTGGTAGAGAGCTCTATTTATTGTCTCATCTGAGGTGGGGCACCTCTGAAAGTGCATTGCCTCCTGTACTGCCTAATGCTGTCAGCTGTCATCTCTGACCTGCAGTCTGGTGGCAAGATAAATCCATAAGCTTCTACCCCAGAGGTGGCTTTACTATCTGCACAGAGTGCCCATCCACTAGCACAGCTGGAGAGGTTCCCCAGCACCTCTCAGCCCCCGCCACATACAGACAGACGGGCATTGGAGAGGGAGTGGGGATGCTCTGTGCCGCAGCTTTGTCTTAGCGGGTATTGCCCAAGAACCAACTGCAGGGATAGGCTATAACCCATCCACCTCCTCCCTGTGAAATGAGGGGCACCGTGGGCATTCCTCTTTGAATCCTGAACCGCGAGGTAGGGGGGTCGGCTGGGAAGCCTGACCCTGGGACTGCTGTGCGGGCGTGGGGCTGTGTGGATGCACATCCTGGAGGAGAACCCGGGGTGGCAGTGCTGGCGCCGGGGCGACTGGCTGGCTTCACGCCCAGGTCCAAACCCCGGCTGGGGGCCTAGAGCGAACCCTGGCTTGGCAGGCCATGGCCGGCGAGGTGGAGCCTGGGGGCCGGACCCCAGAGCTGGAGCCATCGCCCATCAGCCCTGCTGGCCACGGAGCCCAGCTCCAGCAAGAGCCATGCTGGGAGCCCTGCCCTGGGCTCTGTGCCACGCGGGGCATGCTGGGAGCCCTGCTCTTTGCTAGCGCGGGGCATGCTGGGGGC